CAGTTTTGGATTCCATTCTCAGTTTTATTTTTTCGTCTCGCGGGAGTAGCCGGGGCGAAAAAAGAAGCGTGTCGCTTTGTGGCCAATTCGACAGCAAACGGGCGCGACTTTGGCACGATGCGTCACCCATCGAAATGGGTCAATGTATATAGTTGGCGTTGCCCAATGCTGCTGCGCTGTGGAGCCGGCCCCGGCCCCGGCCGCCCTCCTCCTAGCGGAGCGTGGTGGAGCTCCCTGCAGCTGTGATCTGTATTTGGGTGGGCTGCATACGTCTGGGGCTGGCCGCTCCTTGTACGGGCCGCGGGGCCTCGGCTGTGCCGACAGGACAGGACGGCACGGCACGGCGCAAAATAAGTTGACGACGCGAGACTGCTGCTGCTGGGTGAAATAAAGGTCCGATAAGGGATATAGAATTCACCGAATAAGATGTGGGTGTCCCTGCGCGCGGTTACTCTCTTCACCGGGACTATGGAGAGTCTGAGTTGCGCAGGCGGTGTTCCCGTTTTCTCTAATTTTCTTTGTTTCACGTTGTGATGACAAAGTCAGGTGCTGCACTCTTAGACGCTGTTAGTTGTTTTCGGTACATCGGTCCACCGACACACTGATACACTGCCTCAATCTCCTGTGTCACAACTGCACCAGAAACAGAAGCTGCATGACGTTTGCCACCTGGTTGCTGGTAGCAATCTCGGCAAGGAAAAAAATTGCGTCTCATCACCAAAGTAATGGGCAGCTCAGCGACGGACCAAACTTTTTTCACTTTCGAGGAATTTGATCTTTTTTTAAAAGGAGAATTCTCCTTCCATTAATGCACCGGGTAGCCTTTGTACACGTGACTTTTTAATCAAATATCATTTGATTCCCAGTGTTTAGCACACTAAAAGAAAAGAAGTCCTACAGGGTATACCGCGTACATCCGCGACGGTGAAAATGGTTTCTTGAATTTCAAGACCTAGGACGAGCTCGTCTTGAATGCCATTGGCGTTCTCCATAAGATCTGACCGGATCTTGAAGTACAAGAAACTTTTTTTTACCGTGGCACTTCACAGTGGCGGTTCAACAGCGAAAAAAATTAAAAATATGAAATACTATCTATGACATTCGTTTCACATGCGAGTCATAACCCGGTCACCGCACTTTTGTGTGCGTGACGCTGTCACCCACCCCGCCTGCCCTGCCGTGTCCGCGCGTTGTGACTTTTCCATCACACGTCCGCTTTTTATTCGTCGCGGAGGGTATCGGGTGGTGGCGAGTCGCGGGTCGGGCACAAAGAAGTCGTCGTCGCGCGTCTAGTAGTCCTCTTCAAGGAAAGCCGTAGAGCGGTGCGCGGCCATCAGGCATTCACCCGCGTCGCCCCGCCCCGCCCCGCCACGCACACGCAATGGGCTTTGTGCGATGCATCGGGAAACACAGATGATTAATTCTCGTCCTTGCCTATCGGGCCAGCCGGTCGGCGGCGCGCGGACGCGACCGGGAACAATGCGACGACGACGCCTCGACGGAAACGGAAGCCCGCCGCCCGTCGTCGCCGCGTTGTCGCGATTATAAAGTAAGGTTAGTTTTGGAAATGAAATCGGCAAATAATAAATAAACGGGGGAACGCGAATGGAAATTTTGATCGTCGTGTGAAGAATGTTGTTCTGTTTTTAACAGCGCGCCTTCCGACTCGTTGATATAATTACTGTGGTCGCATATGGTAATCCCATAGCCGGGCAGAGGCCTGGCGGCGCAGGCCCGCCATGCTACACACTATCATCGCGCAAGATGGCTCACTGCGACCCACGGCACCGAGGACGGGAGTGGGGAGGGTGCGGTGGAGGGGGAGATGAGGATGGTGGAGAGGGGGGGGGGTTAGAGCTTTCGCCCGCTACTTCCTGTTCAAACGCCGTGATGTTACATTCAATCAAACGTGAATTGTGTCACGTTTCATAAAATATCATGTCACATTCGTTAAAATGTGACCTACCTTTTGCCTTGCCCCGCCCTCACAGGCCATGTGCATGGCATGTGTAGCTGTCACGTTAAAAGGAACGTGACACATCCTACTGATATGTGACGCGACACAAGTCGCAGTCGTTTGAATGTGACGTCACAGTGTTAGAATAATAGTGACAAGATGAGCAACAATCGAGTGGGCGTATTGCCGTGCGTGCGGTTGAGCCTCGAGATAAGCAGAGGTAAATATTTTAGGCAAATATTTAAAAAAGTGGGTTTGAACACAACCTCTCATTTATCCATTAGAGCTATGTATTTCTGAGGATAGGGTTGGCCGGGTTAGGGGGGGAATGTGCAAGGAAATACGAAGGGAAGATTTCGGCTGGTGGCAGTCAGCCTTGCGGTGGAAGGAAGGCAATATCAGTCACGTTGAGGACGGCTCCCGCCGGCGATAGTGTGATAAGGCAGGCGTTAGCCATAGGTCATGTTCGCGGCGATAACGGCCCGCCCAGCCCCGCCCCGCCGCGCCCACCTCGCCCGCTACCGTTGCACTATACTTGCACCGTGGCCCGCCGTGCGGCGACGCCGACTCGCGCTGCTATCGCTGACGCCTCCAAATTTGGCGAAGCAAAGGCGATCATCGTCAAACAGTTTTGGATTCCATTCTCA